TTAGTTACCTTGCTCACTCTTTAACCTAATCTTGCACTTTACCTCTCCAGGATCTTACTCTGACCAAACTCAGTGTACTCCAGGTCCATGGAATCACCCACCATATGATGGCTTTTCTGGTGGTTATTCATCTTTCCCCTGCCTGAAATGTCCTATAGCCCTACCCTTCCTCTAGAACTAGACTCAAGTCTCACCCTTATGAGAAGCTGCCTGTCTGACTATGCCAGCAAACATCCATGTCCTCCACATTTAACCTAATTTTTGTGTTGTTAATTTAATGTGAGCTTTCCTTTGGCTCTTACTTGGAATTTTTAAAAAATTATTTGTTTGATACATTTTCAGGGAGCTTAATCTATGCCAGAAGATGATTACCTCTGAGAATCCTCAAGAATATTTTATTCATAGAATGATGAAGATGAATTTAATTTTTTTTTTGTCCTTTTTCAGACCAGCCGCACCGCGCTCAGCCAGTGAGCGCTGTGAGCGCACTGGTCATCCCTATATAGGATCTGAACCCGCGGCGGGAGCGCTGCTGCGCTCCCAGCGCTGCACTCTCCCGAGTGCGCCATGGGCTCGGCCCAAGATGAATTTAATTTTTAAGAGCACAAGCTCTGAAGTCAGAAGATCTGAGCTTGAATCCTCACTCCACCATTTCCTAAAATGTTACCGTAGCAAGTTACTTAACCCTTCCAATTCTCATCAGTGAAATTGGTAACAGCCCTCATTTCCTATAGTAATTCTGAAGGTTAAATGAAGGAATACATGTACTGCATATACCTGGCACATAGAAAGTACTCAATAAATGAAGCAGAACATAAATAGGAGTATTGCAGATCCTAGTGAGAACAAGGAGAAAACCAAGAGTAGAAGTAAATAGAGGGAGGTACAGCAGATGATGGAGGACCTGAAAAGACCATGGAGAATGTTAGGTTATAAGAGCTTACCTATCATCTCTAAGAAATTAAAGAACCACTGAAAACTTTTGAAATGGATTTTAAATATGATACAGGATTTTTTTAAAAAGAGAGAGAGAAGAAAGATTAATCTGGAAGCAGTGTGCAAAAATGGATTGACAAAGTTGAGGAGAGAGCTTAGAATGAAATAGAGGAAGTAAGAGGTTACCATAGCAAGGTACATAGGAAATGATGAATATCTGAAATAGGATGAAAAGATAGGATTTAAAAAAAGAATGAACACTTAAAAATATCAGTTGCTTACTGATTAGATAAAGGTATTAAAGAAGAACAAAGAGAAAACTGAAGGGTAAAAATGATTCCAAGTTTTGAACCTGATAAAAGGGATATTGATGGTGATATTGAGAAAAGCCAATTTATTTTGTTTGTTTTGTTTTTTGAGAAGCAGGACTCCTAAGATCAGTTTTAGATCCTTCACTTGACATTCAAGATGAAATATATTCGGCATATAAGAGTAGGCCTTGCTAAGCGGTGAATCAAAGTTAACTTAATTGGATAGTAGTTACTTAAACCAGTGCACCAAAGAGAGGACACAGTCAGAAATACTTGGGAGCCACAGCATAGATAAGCAGACAGTCCCCCCTTTACAATGGTTAGATTTTTTTCTGGTGGCTGGCCCACATGGGATCTGAACCCTTGACATTGGTGTTACAAGGCTGTGCTCTAACCAGCTGAGCTACCCAGCCAGCCAAAATTTTTTCTTGACAAGATTTTTTTCAACTGTATTATGATGCAAAAGTGATTACACATTCAGTAGAAACCTACTTTGAGTACTCATACAACCATTCTGTTTTTCACTTTCAATACAGTATTCAATAAATTGCATGAGATATTCAACACTTGAATTTTTTTTTTCCTTTTTGTCTTTTTTACTGACCGGCAACGGGATCGCAACCCTCGGTGTTGCGCCTGCACCGCGCTCAGCCAGTGAGCGGGAACCGGTCTCCACATGGGATCCGAACCCTCGGCGGGAGCGCCGCTGCACTCCCAAGCGGCGCACTCTCTAGTGCGCCACCGGGCCGGCCCAATCAACACTTGATTATTAAATAGGCTTTGTATTAGATGATTTTGCCTAACTGTAGGCTAATGTAATTGTTCTGAGCACATTTAAGGTAGGCTAAGCTAAGCAATGATGTTCAGTAGGCTAGGTGTATTAAATGCACTTTCGACTTACAATATTTTCAACTTACTGTGGGTTTCTCAGGACATAACCCCATTATAAGTCAAGGAACATTTGTAGTAGAATTTCAAATGTTGTGTAGAAGTGTGTAATAAAGATCTAGCAGAACCCTGATATTATAAATTTATCACCAGAGGAAAAAAAGTGCCCATCACAGTCAAATAAAAAAGAAAGGTTTGAGAGTAACAATAATTTACCTCCTAATGTTTCTGTCTTAACCATAGAAACAGGAGTTGGGCTGGTTTTCTCAGAAAGTTTTGCTATGGGGCAAAACTATCTGTTAATGTAATTAGGTATATGGAAAATCTTGGGAACAAAAAGGTCCAGTGTAGAGAGCCCTGCAATCCCAGAGGAAGATTTCGCATCAGGCTTCACTGGTAATACTCTTTCCTAATGTTTCTGCACAACAATTTCCACCTTGGGTTGTGCTACTCATGTCCTTTGCCTTCCACATAATTCCATATAATTTCTATAGAATTTTGTAAGTGACAAATTTGATATTGAAAACATTGAGATTTAAGTTCCTACTAAATTTAGACAATGTAGTGATCAGAGCCTATGTTTGCAGAGAAATATAGTAATATGTTTTACTGAGCCATGAGAAAGTAGATTAAGGGATAGTAAGAAAAGAAAGTGAATTTTTTAACCCATCATCAGTTCAAGAATCAAAAATTTTGTATTATTTCTTTACTTTCACAGGGAAACCTTTTTGTTCTTTTTAGTTCATATATGTAGGATAGAAAAAAGATAATCCTTGATAACCAAAGATAATAAAATAGATATTGTAATGGGATTAATTAGCAAAGCATAAGCATTTTCAAAGTTAATTTTTCAAAATCTAAGTGAAAAATGACACAAACACAAAGCTCAGCAATATTCTGAGCTTTATTCTATTCTCAGCAATAGTCAGAAGGAAAACATCTAATTTTATCGTAATTTCAATAAATTAAAACTAGAAAGTTGCTTCCTTTAAACTTCTAATTTTCTTTAGATTGTATTTTATTGGGGGGGGGGCAGCTGACTGGTATGGAGATCCAAACCCTTGACCTTGATGTTACAAGGCTGCACTCTAACCAACTGATAAATTGTATTTTAAAAATCAAACAATCCCATTGATTTTTTTTATTAAAAAAATAAAATCAGAATATTCTGAAAGAGGGCCGGCCTGTGGCTCACTCGGGAGAGTGCGGTGCTGAGAACACCAAGGCCATGGGTTCGGATCCTATATATGGATGGCCAATTGGCTCACTTGGGTGAGCATGGTGCTGACAACACCAAGTCAAGGGTTAAGATCCCCTTATCAGCCAAAATAATAATAATAATAATAAAAATAAAAAGTATATTCTGAAAGAGAGTCAAAATGGTAGTTAAAATGCAAAGTCGTTGTCTTTTATTACCACATAATGTGTTGTGAAAGTTGTTAGAATGAAAATGGAGTCACTGTGTCAAACCCTAACGAAAAAATAAAGCTGGGAGATTAAGAAGGAAGGGCCCTGTAAAGCTAGGGTAAGTTCACAAACCCTTCAAGCCCGTTGTACAGAATTGGGAAAGATCCCGGGAGCCATTGGCAGATGACATGAGCTCAGTCCTCAGCAGCAGCAGCAACTTACAGGAACTGGCAGTGGCAGCGGCCTCTCAGAGGGTCCCAGGGGTCGGCAGCAACATCCTCCAGCAGCAGTAGCAGCCTCCCCATGCCCCTGGCCCCCGGGCATCCCAGGGGTGGGGGCACCATGGCTCAGAGCCACTCATCCTTTATACTTAAGTCCATAACCCAGGACACCTAGGTGCACATGCACAATTAATAGCCTCTAGCAGCAGTAGCAGCCTCCCCATAACCCCTCCGGGGGATCCCAGGGGTGGGGGGGCACCATGGCTCAGAGCCACTCATCCTTTATACTTAAGTCCATAACCCAGGACACCTAGGTGCACATGCACAATTACGATGTGGATAAAGAAGCACCATTCAATTTCAAATATTTTCACAATGTTATACAAAAGGATTAAACTTTCACTAAAAAATATATATATTTTTTTCTCATTATAAAAGTTCCCTACTACAGAACTTTCAGAATGTACGGACATTTCTAAAGAAGTGACAGAGGAAAAAAACCTTCAACTTTTCACTTACAGTCGTCGTAAACTCTGGTCTTGTTATAGGCCCCCTTAAATTTTCCCCCACCTAAATTTTCACTCTTAAGAAAAAGGGTGAATTCCCCCTCCACACATACTTTTTGTTTGTTTTGTTTTTGGCGGCTGGCCGGTCCGGGGATCTGAACCCATGAATTGCCCCTTTTTGTTACAGAGTTCCTAAGTTCTATTTGTGGCAGCCTCCCACAAATCCTCCTCTAAGGTAACAGAGAGCCGTAATATCATAATTAGTAAGAGCAGATTCTGAAATCCGGTAAACTCGGTCACTTAGTAACTAAAGTCAATGTGGTTTCAGCGTCGTTGAGCCTGGTTCCTTATCTGTAAGTCCAAATGCTCTCAGGGCTAAACGGAAATGATGATGTACGGAAAGCGTTTACCCCAAGGCTGGACGCAGCTGGCACTTTGGTAGGACGGAAAAGCCGCAGCAATGTTAGCCTCACTCTTTTCCCTCTTCCAGCACTCAAAGACCAACCTTAGTTCCTTTCTAGGGTTCGTGAGAAATTCCTCCCAGTGGAGGCACCCGAGACGCTCATTTTTTAAAAAGCTGTCCCAGTGATTTCGCTGAACCACAGGGAGGAGGAGCAGGGGAGTGACGGAACTGGTTTCCAGCCGCTGCACGGTCCCTTTAAGATCCTCTCCAATCACCTTTCTCCCTCCGCGGAGGCGGAACCGGAAGTCTGGGGGGAGCGCCAAGTGTCCAATATGGCGGCTGCCTGGACCTCTGGCCTGGCCGCCCCGGGGGCTGTGGCCGCCCAGCTCCTCGGAGTCCTATGGGTCGTGTCAGTCACCACGGGACCTTGGGGGACTGCCGCCACCGCCGGCGGCGAGGAGACGCTTAAGTGCGAGGACCTAAAAGTGGGACAATATCCTCTATGGGGAGCTCCCCTGCCTAATGGAGGCGAGGTAGATTTGGGGTCGCGAGTGGGTCGCAGCCCTCAGTACGGGCCAGGGCTATATTGAAGGGAACGATGATCCGTGGCCACTAATGACCGAGGGACCCCGGGAGGTGAAGAGAGGTGTGGGGATGGGAGAGGCAGAGGCCACCCCATGTGTTGGTGCTCCCTCTTCTGATGCACGTATTATATACCGGTGTGCTTGCTTGTTCAGCATAGATCCTGAAGTATGCCAGGCCCTGTTCTAGGCACTGGTAATACGAAGATTGATAGGCTCTACCCAGATAAAGTTTGTCGATTTGGGAGGAGACAAATAAGTAATACGGTCTAGCCAACTTGTGTTGCCCATTTGTCATTAACTTTCCATGTATTACTTCATGTCATCCTCAAACTCCGTGAGATGCTAAACTGCTAGGGGGCTAATTCCTGCTCTACTTTGTAACTCTAGGCAAATTTTTGAACTCCGTTTTTTCATGAGTAAAAATGTGGGTAATAATAGAACCAACTTAAAGATCTGTTGTGATTCTTAAATTAGCACAGGTTAAAACACTTAGAACAGTGCTTGGCATAGTAAGGACTTTATGTGTTATTTGCAGAGGAGGAAGCTGAGGCAGAAGGGGTAAGGGGCTCATAACACAGCTTTGTGACAAACTTAGGAACAACATGAAATGGAATTACATTTAAATTAAAATATCTACTTTTGTACCTACCTAGGTTTTGTACAAATTGTAGAGCAGAAAAGCTAATAATAGAAGCCAGAGATATTAGATTCTATGAGAGAAAATCTTGAAAAAAATTCTGTAGTATCTTTATGTATAATTGGGGAGAAGTAGCCATTATTTTATTTCCACAGAATAGCTCTAATTTGCTGAGTACCGTTATTCTTGGAGTTTGAGAATCACTGATCTAGTAAGTCTGTCTTTTCTTGGCAAAAAAGTTAGGGAGATTCTTTCTAAGAAAATAATTAGACAGCATGGAGAGAGATGAGCATATAGGATGTTGAGGTGATGACAACTGGAAAATGTCTGTTGTTCCTGGCGTAAAGATGAGATTCCCAGTAGTGATGTGAAAACCTTAAACGGGTCAGGCTATCTCCAGACACATGTCATGAATACCATACCTCCCCATTTTAGTGCTAACAGTAAAATATTTAGGAGACAGAACATACCCTCCATCCCCAGACTGTTTTGAATCTATTGGCTGAGGATTATTCTACCTATTTTCCAAAACTTAAAATCCTCTTGGATGACCACAAAGAAAATAACCATCTTCCCTGCAGTCTGATGGAAGTGTTCTAGGCTTGGAATCAGGAAACCTGGTTTTACTACCTATTATTTATATGACTTTTGGATAAACCACTCAAACTTTGAGCCTCAGTTTGCCTTCTGTGATTTGGGATAATAGTATCTACCTCCCAGGGTTATTTGTGTTACATGAAATTATGTATTTGGTAATACTGGTTGCCCCATAAATTAGTTTAATCTAAATCTCTGGAAATGGATTTGTTTTTAACCTACGCCTTCTTATAATACTTTGGTAAAGATTTTTTTTTTAATTTTTGCTTTGTGCTTATACCCTGATTGATGTTTTTTAAAGATGTCAACGCCAGCTAGAGTTTTAAATATATATTAGTACATGTTTCCTATAATAAGTTAATGTTCAAGTATTAGTTAGCAACACTAAAAGTATATTTGTACCTGTGCATATTGACTTGGACAAACTAGCAGCCTCTCTTTACATATGAATATTAACATGAGTTTATAATATGAGATATTAAAGACATGATAATGTTTTGTGTTGGAATATAGTTCATATTTCCTTAACTTTTTTTCTACATATATTTGTAAAGATCCAAAAATAAATGATGCTACACAAGAACCAGTTAACTGTACAAACTACACAGCTTATGGTAAGACTTTTGGAAACATTTAAAAAATAATTTTTAAAACGTTAACTATTTCATAGGTCAATATTAGATCACTAAAGGTAAGTAATAAATGTGCTTTTCTTTAAGTTATAACATTATTCAGTTTCCGAGACAACATAAAATTGGAGAACTGGCTAGGGCTTGTAATCTTTAATTTAAAAAAGAATCTTGGGCCGGCCCGGTGGCGCACTGTTACAGTGCGCCGCTTGAGAGCGCGGCGGCGCTCCCGCCGAGGGTTCGGATCCCACATACAGACCGGTTCCTGCTCACTGGCTGAGCGAGGGGCGGGCGCAGCACCGAGGGTTGCAATCCCGTTGCCGGTCCCGGTCCGGTACGGGCGCGACACTGAGGGTTGCAGTCCGTTGCCGGACATGAAAAAAGACAAAAAGGGAAAAAAAAAAAAAAAGAATCTTATTCTCTTAATTATATAAACTGGGAAGTTTTATATTTTTATTATTTTTTCCAAACAACTGGAATAATTTTATATAGCTTTCTTGATGTCTTTTATTTCCCAAGATATGTTATGCAAAGATGCATTTTTAGCTATGTTTCCTAATTACTGAAAAAGAACTTGAAATGAGACTGTTAGTCCAATAAGGTACAGTGAGGAGCTATATCACTTGCATTATGTACTTGTAAAGTGTACTTAGATACATTCTAAGTATGCAAACAGTATGGTAAGGATTTTAAGTATACATCAGTATTTTCTTAGAGATGTATTTTGATAATGGATAACACCCTCAGCCTGATGATTTGGGAGATCTTCTATTATTCTAAAATATGTGTAATGCCACATAAAAATTAATAAACTGCTCTCTGTTCAGTTGTTTTTTTCTACAGGAGTACATGTTGCAGTGGGGAGGCAGATAGATGTATGTTGGAGCTATTTAGCATTCTTGTTTGCCATGGTACATAATTATGACAATTAGACAGTATTTTGAGAAAAAAGAACCTGTTGTATGTATACTGATTTTTTAATGTATTAGACAGGAAATAAGCTGATACTGATGTTTTCTTTATTAGTAAAAGCTATTTTTTTTTTTTTTTTTTTGTCTTTTTTCGTGTCCGGCAACGGACTGCAACCCTCAATGTCGCGCCCTTACCGGACCGGGACCGGCAACGGGATCGCAACCCTCGGCGCTGCGCCCGCCCCTCGCTCAGCCAGTGAGCGGGAACCGGTCTGTATGTGGGATCCGAACCCTCGGTGGGAGCGCCGCCGCGCTTCCCAAGCGGCGCACTGTAGCAGTGCGCCACCAGGCCGGCCCTAGTAAAAGCTATTTTTAAACAGATTTATAATGTAAATGAGGTGAAGGGAATTATGTTTGTTACAGAAAAAAATTTTTCAGTTTTTCAAAAGTAATTTATATTCAAATAATTGATATCTTGATTATGAATTTGTACATACTCATATTTTAAAAAGCAGATCTCCATTTAACTTTTTACATCTTTGTATTTTGGCACACCGTTAGACCACTTTTAGTCAGCAAAGATATTTGAAAGGTTGTGTTAAACTTTTATAATTGACTTTTTGCTAGTATTTTGAAATGGTAAAATTTTACCATATAAACAGTAATAGGATATAAATATATAGTAGATATTGCTTAATATATATACTTTTATTTAATTTAGGTGTATTAAACTTAAAGGAACTTTGTAAGTAATCTCTCCCTTTTCAGTTAACTTGTAAGTATGCTGTAATTTGTGTAGTTTACAGTTCAGAGTCTTTTATATCATAGCTTTTGGAACACAGAGAATAGAGTTAACACACATAAAGAAGAGTCAGCTCTCAAATATGGCTGTTTTAATCATTCATGTGAAAGATGTTAGAAATTTGTGAGTACTGTTGTGACTCAGACATCTAACTTAAAACTAGGAACCAGGGAGCCAGCCTTCTCAAAGAAGCATTTTCTAGCCTGCAGGGTTCTTTGCACATATGGAGATTTTAAAGGAAATTACAGTATACAACTAAAATGAATAGTTTCTGCCCAAAAAGTGCTCTGCCACCCAGTTATGTGTCTCTTTTGGATGAAATAAGCATTAATACATGTAAGAATTATTAATAAATAAGTTTATAAACATACATAAAATCAAATAAGTGATCAGGTTGCTAGGAAGTATAAAGAACTTGGAGGTATTATGATATTAGCCATGGTGTATCAGGTATATGGTCATAAATCATGTAAGTGGAGAGCTATGGAAAAATAAAAGTAAGGCTTTCCATATAAAGATATGATATGCTATTCATTTGGAGAGAATAAAGCATGTAAAATTTAAGTACATTTGTCTAACTGAATCTGGGAACATATGTAAAATGTTGTAGATTAATAAATAAGTGACTTTAAATCATGATAAAGATTATCATTATCATGATTTAAAGAAGAAAACAAAGTTTCTGGGTCAAACGTGAGTCACGGGGCTCCTGCAGGTAGATGTGCAACTTAGGCCGGCACATAGGTATTCACCTGGGGTAGGTTCTTCCATTCCTACCCAACACTCTTGAGGCTGTGTCCATCCACGGGAGGTGTTTTTGGTTTTGTTTTCTAATCGCCCTTTTTTAAATCACACAAAAGCTAGTGGGGTAGCTATGGTGAATCCCTTCTAAATCCTGATCAGAGACGGACAGCAAAATGACCCTTGAAACATGCTTTTTGGTCCTAACGTAGAATTGATTAACAGGAGAAAACTATTAAAGTTGTGAAAAGTGTGAGTTAAATGGTCTTTCTAATTCCTTCCTTTTTTTTTTTCACTGAGTATACGAAGAACTATTGCAGAATCCTTAGACTATGATTAATTTTCTTAAACTATACTTCTTGGGTAGGAATGAATGCAAGCGATCTTTTACAGAGGGGAGTTTGGGGTTAGTAGGTAAGGATTGGGACAGAAAGCAAAAGAAATTCATCTATGATAATTAATTGATGTGATCTCAGAATGCTTCCAGGTTAGCCAATGTCATTTAAGAAGCACATTTGTTTATTGAGAAAGTGTTTATTTATAATGAATAATTTAATAACTAAATTTATTTTAATGAATTTAATAATTACATTAAGACCATTAAGTTAATTAAAAATTAATTTCTAATATTACAAAAATCTGAGAATTTATTTAATTATTTGTACTTATTTATCGAGAAATTATTATATGGCAGGTGGTGTAGATCATATACTCTTTAGTCTTCTTTAAGACATGATCCCTGACCTCAAGGAGTGTTCTTTCTAGATTATATAGACATACATCAGCAAGTATTTTCAATTTTCCTATCACTGAAATACAAAAATATTTAGACCCCACCTTCAGAAAATTTTGCTGTGGTCCTTTGACAGAGGTCTTTTTTATTTTCTTAAGTTTGTATTGAAGTATAATGTGTTTACAGAAAAGTATACATAAATGTAACTTAAAGTTCTTCACAAACCAAGCACACCTGGAATGCTTCCAGATCAAGAAACAATATTATCAGCATGCCAGAAGCCCCCTCCTACTCTTTTATAGTCACTACCCTGCCTCAGTGGGTAACCACTATTTATTCTATCTTCTAAATTAGGATTAATGCGTTTTGCAAAGAGTATATTATTTTTTAACTTTATTTGAAGAGAATTTTAAACTTACAGAAAAGTTACAAGACTAAGTAGTGCGAAGAACACCCGTATACCCTTTACCCAGATTTACCAGTTGTCAACATATTATTATTCTTGCTTTATCATTGTATATTTGCATGAGTGCTTGCTCTCACATACTCTCTCTCTCACACTCACACTATGTCTCTCTGAATTTGTATATGAGTGCGTTTGTATATATGTATATATACTTTTTTTTGGCCCCTAAATACTTTTGTGGTTTTTTTTTTAAGAGTAGAGATATTCTGTTAACAAAAACACAGTTCACTTATAAACTTCAGTAAATTTAATACTGGTACACATGCTTTAATCTAATCCATGGTCTAATTTTATCAGATGACCCAAATAATGACTTTTTAGCATTTTCCTCCAGTACAGGATTCTAAAATCAGGTTTTGCATTTAATTTTCTTCAAACTGGAACATTTCCACAGCTTTGTTTTTTATGAAACTGACTGACATGTTTGATGACTACAGTCCCCCTTTATTTTAATAGAATGTTCCTCCTTTGGGATTGTCTGATATTTCCTTACGATTAGATAAGTTATACACTCCAGGCTGGAAAATTACATATGTGATGAGGTGTCCTCAGCATCTCACATCTGATGGCACATGATACCTATTGGCCTCTCACTAGTGATGTTGTTATTGATCACTCTGATTTTCCCACTGTATAGTTAATATTTTTTCCTGTGCAAGTAATAGACTTACTAAGACCATGAAAATATCCTATTCTTCGTCAGAATTTCCCCCTAGATTTATCATCCATTGATGATTCTGGCCTGAACCATTCTTTATGATGATAGTTGCAAAATGATGATTTTCCAACTCCAGTACTCCCAGAGGAGAGCTGTCTTTTAATGCTGGAAATATGAATATAGGGTTGGCTCTTGCCAACTTAATCTCTAGCTTTTGTTTTCACCTGAGTTCTAGATTGGCACATTTAATTAGCTGGTCATTATATAATATAATCTGATAGAAATCACATCCAGTCGACCCTTTTATTTCATGGATCAAGATTAGGGTCCAGAGGCATGATGTTAACTAGAATAGGATTCCAAGCCACCTACTCCCTGGATCAGTCCTTTTTATTACAAAACTTCATTGTCCAATTACTTTACTTCTAGTTTAGCCATTGTGCATTTAAAACACTGCTGCTTTTTATCATTGAAAAATACTGTGTAGTTATTGGCTTGAATTGATGCTTCCTAAATCCTAAACGTTGGGCAGAACCAAATCTTTTTGCGAGAAAACTGCAAATTGAATAATTTTCAGTCTTTTAGCAAGTTGCTTAATTTTACCTATTAGTTTACATTTATTAGTAATTGGCTTCTTTAATTTTGTCATATTGATTTGTTTATTTTTACTTATTGCTGAAATCAATGTTAGCATGGAATTATTGTATAATGGAAAGAGTATTGATTAAGACTAATGAGTTTTAGTCTAAGAATTACAGAATATTACCTGCTTATGAGACTGCTTATTAAGGATGAAATGAAATAATTATAAAGTATATATAAACAAACTCGAGGGTTGTAGGCTTCTTTTGAATGGATGAATTTCAAATCACAAAAGCTTACATTAATTTTACAGCCACTCACAATATTATATTCATTTCTCATATCGTTTTCATTTTCTCTCTTTTTTTTTAATGAATAAAAGGCATAAAAAAATTTATTATATCACAGTTTTACATGACATGGGAACCTTCAGAATGAAGACCCAAAGATTAGGGAAAATTGTCCATATTTATGCTTAGGTTCTATGAAGCAGGCACAGCCGTATAGAAATGTGATTGGACAAGAAAAATATGTCCTCATGCCAATAGACCGAGTAAGGAGAATCAGCAGGGCCTGATTCTTCTTGGCCTCTCCGTATAGCATTCATTCCTCCAGAGTATACAGTAGGACCCTTTCTGGATTAAGGGTCTTATGACCTATAATCAGACAAGGTAGGTCAGAGAATTTCTTTATGTCCAGTTCCAAGACAGAAAGGAATAGAGGAAGATTAGAGTATATCTATGACCCACCTTAGGGAAGAGGGATTCTAGTTTCTATGGCTCAGAGGAGAATGAGGCTGAGAGATAGAAGGGCAGTTGAAGGTCAGAGGAAAACTTTGCTTCTGAGGCTTCTTCTGAGGACTTCAGTTTGGGATATTGCTTTCATGGACTCTGGCTCCACAGATGATGGGAATCCCATGTGATCACCTGGGAATGTGTATAGAAATCATTTGAGATGCTGAGGCTGTCTTGGATAACCCTTATTAACCTTCTGTCTCGTCCTCTTGGTTCTCTTTTAGAGCTTTCTTCAGCCCTTTCCTCTCCACCCCATTCTAGTTCCAGGTAATATAATCTGGACATCCAAAGAATGGTTTAGAGTGAGAGAATGAAGAACTAAACCATATTTCCTACTCTTATACACTCAGTACAGAATACTTCACCTCTGGCCACTAAAATGTATGTGCGGGTCTTCCCCACACACCAACCAGTTCTCCAGCAAACACCAACTGTGTGTCCTACAGTTTAACTCAATTCCGACACTATGTATCTGGAGTTAGACTCAGATCCCACATATGCAGGGCTCAGTCCCACAGGACTGCCCTCTACTTCAGAGGCCAATTGCAAGTAGCAGGTTGTTAACTGTACTTGCAACCTCCCAGCCATAAACCTGAATTTCCACAACCCCCCCCCCCCCTTGGGTCTGATTTTCTAGGATGCCTCACAGAACTAAGGGAGAAACTTATGTTTACAGGTTTATTATGTCAATAAAGGATATGATAAAGGATACAGATGAGCACCCAGATGAAGAGATGTATAGTACAAGGTATACGGGAAGAGGTGCAGAGCTCTCATGCCCTCTTAGACTGCAACACCCTCCAGGTACCTCCACATGTTCAGCAACCTGGAAACTTTCTGAACCCTGACCTTTTGGGTTTTTACAGAAGCTTCATTACATAGGCATGATTGATTACATCATTGGCCATTGGTGATCAACTCAACCTCAGCCTCCTTCATGTCAGGTTCATTCTCTATTAGTATTCTCCATGTTGAAGTTCTCTAACCTCCTAGAATGGTGAACCTAAGAATTTTTTAACATTTTCTCTAACCAAGCACCATGGTTTTACACCAGATGCTTTTAATACACACAAGAGTACTTCAAAAACTTCATGAAGTAGAATTGAAAGATAATACAAATCCTCCTATAAACTTTTTGAAGTATCCTCATGAAAACAGCATTACAAAAGATATTATCCCAATTTCACAGATGGGAAACAGGATTCAGATAGGTTTTGTAATTTGCACAAAGGAACATTGTATTTAAGTGACAAAGTTTGGACTTAAATCCAGATACGTCCAGTTCTAAAGTTCTGTTTGGAGCTATCTATCAATTCTAACAAATCAGTCTCTCAAAGTTTCTCTTATTTATTACTTTTTGATGTCATCTCTGTATATAGTTGGAGTAGCAGTTTATCCTTTTTCTCTAAATTATATAATTTTCATCCCTTGAAATAAGTAGCTCATACTTCTGTCAGACTTTAGAATCATTGTAGCAGTGTGGTTTTCCTCTTCACTCTGGTACCTCTTTCCACTGTTATATCTTTCCTAGGTCTGGAACGTTGGGCATTTTTCTTTCTTTCATTTTTCTCATATTGTATACAACGCAGCTAGTAGAAATGATTACAGATCATTGAAAACTAAAACTGTCAAAATATGGGAGTTTGAACAATTGATAGTATCTAATTGAAAAACAGAGTTTCTTAGTTTTTAATATTTTTTTTCAAGGCATTTTTACAACACATCTATAAATGCTTGGTCTTTAAAATTTTTGTGCAGGAACCTGTCCTCTCAAAAAAGCAATGCATTTCTATTAGACAAGGTGGATTGGAAAATAATCCCAACTGGAATTATAATTACTGTTTTGTATTGCAACTGTCTCTTCAAGACCTTATTTTAGATAGTCTGCAGAAAGATCTCACAAGGCTTGTATGACAAGAAAGTGACAGCTTCAAACAGAGCAAGTGCAAGGTAATATTTTTAGAGAAAAATTATCTAAAATTTAGTAATAGAATTCTAAAATTTATGGCATAGTTCTTTACTTACTGGTTTAAGGATTTGAAAAGCTGCTTTTTGAGAAAGAACCTGTGTTTATAGATATTCTTGCAGGTCAGTTCTTTGTGGAAATGGGATGCTTCTCATCAAGGGAAACATTCTAACTTTTAACCAGACATCTCTTTGACTGACTTACATGCCTGATGACTACACTATTGGACTACAAACTGGAATACCTGTATTCCTCGGGGTAGACAGAGCCTTCTCATGATGGCTATCAAATTGCTGTGGTTTTTAGATTCCATTTTAAAGAGTGCTATAACATTTAATTTTAATAGTGGTATTAGATATGCTGGAAATTACATTTTTTGCACCATTTAATTTCATGATGAACACAATATGAGCAACTCAAGGACTTGGACCGTATTTTACCCTCTTTTCCATTGTCTAGTACAGTGCCCAACTCATAGTAAGTGCTCAGTAAATGTTGTTGAATGAATTTGTGAATGGATGCATGGATGAATGATGGAAAGGTGAACAGGTGGATGGATTAATAAGAGATTAAAGGAAACTATCATATTCATATTTCAAGAGTGAGACTGGGTCAAGTATTTCTCTTTTTTAAAAAATTTATTTATTTTGAATATTCATGAGATAAAAAGCTGATTGTCCCCCCTCCTGCCCATGATGTGTGGGCCAGATTCATATTGGGAACATACCCATTACCAGAAATTGCTTTTGTACCCTTTGTCCCCTTCCAATTATCCCCCAACCTTCTCCCCCTTCCCCTCTCCCCTCAACTTCAATTTGTAGCCCTAGGAATGTTCCCTCCCTTCGATGAATCATGAGACATCTGTGGTCTTTCTTTCCTGCCTGCCTTTTTTTCTTAGCCCCCACATATGAATGAGCACATGAGGTATTTATCCCTCTGTGCTTTCCTTGTTTCACTCAAAATAAGTTTCTCCAGGTTCATCCATGTTGTTGCAAATGGGAGTATTTCATTCTTTTTTATGGCAGAGTAGTATTC